CCAGACTTACTGGTCTGACAGAGACTGGAGAAGCCCTGAGAGTATGGCCCCCAGACATCCTCATAGCTCAGTACTGAAGTCACTTCTGAGGTTCACCCTTCAGCCAAAGGTTAGACAGGCCCATAAAACACAAGGAAACAAAATGGGCACACCAGCCCAGGGTCAAGGAAGAGAAGGCAAGAGGGGACAGGAAAGCTGGTAATGGGAAACCCAAGGTCGAGAAGGGGAGAGAGTGTTGACATGTCGTGGGATTGGCAACCAATGTCACAAAACAACATGCGTATTGATTGTTTAATGAGAAACTAGATTGCTCTGTAAATCTTCATCTAAAGTATAATTTAAAAAAAAAATCAAAAATAAATAAATCTTATTGAAAAAAGAAAACTGGAAAGATAATAACAAAGCCATTGTTTATTGAGCACTTACTATGTGTCAGGGACTGTTCTATGCACTTGACTTGTAATAACCTTATGAGGTAGGTAATAGTTAGCCGGTAAAGGAAGTGAGGCCAGGAGGGTAAAGTGGCTTCGCCCAGGGTTACACATCAACAAAGTGGCAGAGCCAAAATGCAAACCAGAGCAATCCAGCTGCAGAGCCTGTGCCCTTAGCAGCATACCACCCAGTGGTTGCTGTGATGGCCACCAGCACAGGGTGACTTGGGGACAGATTCGGGACACTGGAAGTGGTGGAGGAAGATCAGAGCAGACTTATTGCAGAAAGTGAAACCTGAGCTGAGTCTCGAAGATTGTAATCATTTATTGTTGTGGATGTCTCCTCCTCACGTCCTCCTCTTTTGTCCAAAGACAGAAGCTGCCTTTTATTTTTCATGCCTTTTTTATTGTGCTCAAATATATATAACATAAAATTTGCCATTTTAAGGACTTTTAAGTGCACACTTCAGTGGTATTAATTACATTCACAATATTGTGTAATCATCACCGCACTCTAGTTCCAAACCCTTTTCATCACCCAAACAGAAACTCTGTGCCATTTAAGCAATAACTCCCTATCCCACCCACCCCTGTCCAATCTACTTTCTATCTCCATGAATGTGCCTCTTCTGGATATTTCATATAAGTGGAATCATACAATATATGTCCTTTTGTGACTCGCCTATCTCACTCAGCATGAAGTTTTTGAAGTTCATCCATATGGTGACATGTATCAGTACTTCATTCCTTGTATGGCTGAGTAATATTCCATTGCACGGATATACAGTTGACAGACACTTGAGTTGTTTCCACCTTTGGGCTATTGTGAATGGTGTTGCTATGAACTTTGGAATACAAGTATTTGTTTGATATCTTATTTTTAATTCTTTGGGGTCTTTACCAGAGACTGCGTTTTATTTGTTTCTTTCTCTCCGAGATCCAATACAGTGCCTGATATACAGCAGACATTCAATGAACAGTTGCTGACTAAGTATATGAACCAGAAAGTTAAAAACGTTTTGGACTTGGGGACCATGTCCTGTTTCTCTTTGACTCCTTAGCTCCTAACACAGTTCTGGGCATAAAAATGGAACTACGCCTCACCTCGTTCTGTAGTGGGGGATGCGCAGGGCCTGGGGTAGACAATATGGAATCTCTTTCTTCTGGCTTAGAGAGCTGGGTCGGCCATGTCTGAGCAACCCCCATGGGAGCAAGCGGACCGCCTAGAGCCCACAGCCAGCTTAGGTGGAGGAAGAGAAGGAAGATAATGAAGGAGGCAATACATGAAGCAGGAGGGCTGGCGAGGAGAGGAGAGGAGGATACGAGGAGAGGGACAAAAAAAGGAGGGGCAGATGGCTTTTAGGCCTACCGTCTGGCCTAAAACCCTGTGACAAAAATCAAATGGCATCTGAGAGGAATATCCCCAATCTGAGAGAAAATCTCTTCATTTAAGCATTTACTGAGCTTCTCCTGTGTACCAGCAGTATGCTAGGCTAGGCCTCAAGGATAACAAAGGTAAAGAAGACATAGGCCCTCTTGGTCAACTCTGGGGCCATGGGCACAGGGGTGTGAACACCTAAGAGTGCCCAGACTTGCCAGACGCCATGGTGGGCATCTGTACAGAGCCCAGGGGCCACACAAGGGAGTGTCCACCTCACTCTTGGAGGCCACAGCAGACTTCCTTGAGGAGCAAACATTTGAGCTCAGTTTTGAACAAATTAAATAAATCTGGGAGTCTACAATAAAATCGTGATGGGAGTGGGAAGAGAAAGAGGAGGAGGAAGTTTGGTTCAGACTGAGGCCACACTTTGAACAAGGGCCCTGAGGTGTCCAAACCACCAAGAACCATTTACAGTCACAGGACCTTGGGGTGGCCACTGGGAAGCTATTGAGAGAGATTTTGGAGAAAGATTTGCAGTTCCAGGGAATCACCCTGGCTGGAGTACAGAGCATGGATGAAGGGGAAGTTGAAATGGAGGCGAGGATGCTCTAGTCACACACACAGAAAGTTAGGACCAGTGGGGTGGGGAGGAAGTTATAGATAAAACAAACTCCACAGGAAGGACTTGTGAAGAGATGAGGGAGCTAGGGGAGTCCAAGATGGCTCCTGGGCTCCTGGCTTGGGTTTCCAGGTTCTCAGAGGTGAGACAGAAAGAAGCAGGTCTGGGAGAAAGATGAGCCTCCTGTGACATGTGGGTTTGAGGTGGTGATGTCCTGTGCACAGCTAGTATGTGAGTCTGAAGTGAGAAGAGGGGCCTCGGCTGGAGATCCAGTTTTGGGAGTCATCAGAACATACTGGTCCTGGTAACCAATGAAGGGTCCTAGACAGCCCAAGGGGAGAGTAAAGAGAAAAAAGAGAAGAGTACCAACACCAGAACCCAAGGGAACGAGCCAACACGTAAGGAGTGAGCAGAGCAAGAGGAGGACCCAAGTCCGAGGGGGACATCCTGAGAGACAGGGAGAGAGAACAGTGGGTGTAGAGAACAGGAAGGAGAATGACCTGTTCAGGTCAAGGTCACTCATTGAACAAGGTCACCAAGGCTTCCAGCCTTATAGTTTGGAAAGGCAGAACCTTGGGGTGGGAGACACGACAGGATGCCACAGGCCAAAACGGAGTTCATAGGCCTGAAAGGAAGCATTCTGTGCAGGAAGCAGGAAGCAGGGAGAGGCAGGTTGGGGCTGGGATCCTTGTCCTGGGCCTCATACATCAAGCCTCCTTCTTCCCAAATCATCCCTTAACCAGCTCCTCGCAGCCTGCCCCAGAACCCGCTGTATGTCTTTCCCACCCTGGCCCCATTACTTGACTCCACTACAACCCCATGTTGCCTTGATTGTTGGCCATACTATAGGGTGTTGACCTGGTTCTCCCACCCGTGCATGTGTCTGGTTTGTGACATTGGTCCATGTTGGCTGGGCACCATTGTCGGTGGGTTACTGTGTCTGTGTGTTTGTCATTGTTGAACTTGTGCTCTGGTGGTTGGCCCATGTGTTTTGTGTCTTTCTTAGATGGACTCTTGTCTGAGCCAGGTCCTTGTCTGGTCACCCGAGCAGCCTAACCCATGCCCACTCACCCCTCAGCCCTAAATCAGGGCACTGGCAGATGCTACCCTCAGAAACCAGGCCAGAATCAAAAATATGTTTGCAAAAGATAGGAAACTTTATTGACAGATATTTTCATCTCAGTAGAGAAGCTGAGAAACCAAAGAGTAGTCAAACAGAAGAAGCCAATTGGGAGAGACAACCCCCTTGGGAGAGTGGGGGCTGGGCATCCTGAGAGTAGTGGGGGGGCGGGTACAGAGCCTCCCTTCCTGCAGTCCCTCCTCTCTCCTGCAGGGAGCCATAGCCGGCTTCTCCTCTGGGTGCTGAAGACAAAGGGAGGGTGTGCTAGGCAGATTTAGGTCCTGCGGGTTTCGGAAGTAAGGCGACTGGTGGTGGTGGTGGTGGTGGTAGAAACTTTTCCTGGGAAATGGAAGCAGAGATGAGATGCTCAGGCTGAAGAAGACCCCCTCAAGCCATGTCAGGGCCCCCAAAGGGGCTCACAAACCCCTGATTAGCCAGGTGGTATGTTGATGGGGACTGTATGTTATTGTCCCTGAAAGTGGCCCCCTCCAAGACAGCCCAGTGGCTCTCGGAGCAGGGGACTATTTTGAAAAGAAAATAAAAGAGCAAATGACCACTTCCACCTCAGTTCTCTCCCTCCCTACAGTTGGGATCTGGCACTGCCTCCCCACCCAGGGTAGTGAACAGAGCCTGACCCCACCTCCTCCCAGGGTCCTTCCTTACCTCCTCCAGAGGTGAAGCCAGTCATCCTGGGAGAGAGGAGAGAGGCAGCAGTGAGCAGAAGGTGACCAAGGGCAGGTGCTTACCTGTCCTCCTCATGGGGCCTCAGATCATCAGTTGGGGCACCTGTTTGGGTTTTTCCACCTGGCTGTGCCCCCATCCCAGGGGTAGCAGCATCAGGTGCCCACCAGGTCTGTCTGTCTGTTTTGTTGAAGTCAAAGAGGCCTCAGGAGGAGATATTATTGGCCCCAGGATTCAGGGCACTTTCCAGAGGCTTTGTCCTATCCCCAGTTCATTCTGTGTCCCCCCTCCCCCATTCCCTAAGCCCATAGAATGGCTAGGTCCCTGCAACTGGATGAACTGAATCCAAGCTAATGCTTTTCCAATATTAGATGCCCAGTCCGTAGTCCCTCTTCTTTCCATCCAATTCAGAGACCTGAATTAGAAAGCGTAAAGGTTTGGATGCTGCAGCCTGCTCAGGAAACACCACCAGAGTCTGACTCAAGACACCACAAGACTCTGGTCCTGGATCTTCTTCCAGGCTGCTTAAGCTCAGATAGGTCCCTCCCCTGCCTGAGCCTTATCCCATCCTCTATGACATGAGGACCTGGTCTCTAAAGCCTCCCTGCTCTGACACCCCAGGGTTGAGCTGTTACTTTCCCGAGAAGCCAAGAGGACCTACTTGGCGTCCTGGCCCTCGAGCAGGCTGCGGTAGGTGGCGATCTCCTGCTCCAGGCGTGTCTTGATGTCCAGCAGCACATTGTATTCCTGGTTCTGGCACTCCATCTCACTGCGGAGGTCACTCAGCTGCTGCTCGATGCTGCTGATGAGCCCCTGGATCTGCTGCAGCTGCAGGGCGTAGCGGCACTCTGTCTCCGCCACAGTGCTCTCAAGCCCGGCTTTCTGGTGGGGCAATAGAGAAGAAGTCCTGAGACGAGCCAGGCCAGAGGGAGGCCTAGAGGGAATGACCACAGTCAAGGGGTCGTAGGAGTACCATGCTAAGCTGGGACTGCAGCTCTATCTCCAGGCCCTGGAGAGTGCGCCTGAGCTCTGTGATCTCCGTCTTGCTGGTCTGGATCATGGTGACGCTGGATGTCACCTCCTTGCTCAGCTCTGCACTCTGAAATTCAAATGGAGGAAGGTCGTGGAGGAGCCCAGGTATAGAGCCCTAATCAAGAGGTGATGTTCACCTGGTGCCACCTAGCTATGTGGAGTGAGAGGGCCTGGGTACCTTGTTGTTGAACCATTCCTCGGCATCCCGGCGGTTCTTCTCTGCCATGGCCTCGTACTGCTCCCTCATCTCGGCCAGCACGCGGGTCAGGTCAATGCCTGGAGTGGCATCCATCTCCACGGTGACCTGGCCTGCCACCTGGTTGCTGAACTCCTTCATCTCCTGTGGAGGTGGGACAGGAAGATGTGTGAAGTTTCCCATCCTTCCTCCCTTGGCTCTGAATACGGTGGAAGCACATTGAAAGCCCCTCCAGGCCCCAGAGTGGAGGCTATGTCAGGGTGCCCCAGAGGGCTCCCCTTTCTCACTGGAGTTGATTCAGCCCTCTCACCTCCTCGTGGTTCTTCTTCATGTATACCAGCTCCTCGTTCAGGCTCTCAATCTGCATCTCCAAGTCTGTCTTGACCAGGGTCAGCTCATCCAGCACCCTGCGCAGGCCGTTGATGTCAGCCTCCACGCTCTGGCGCAAGGCCAGCTCATTCTCATGCCTGAAAGATTAAAAAAAAAATTTTTGTTTTTGAAAAAGCATAAATGATATTCGACACTACCCCTACCCCTGCTCTGGATTCTGCTGTTTCTCTAAGACCGTTTCTCCTGGAATGCCCCAAGTTCATTTCTCAGATGAACATTTGTCTAAAAGAAGAGACTGCTGGAAAAAGTGAACAAGACAAAGAAACTCACTTGAGCCTGAAGTCGTCTGCGGCCAGCCGGGCATTGTCAATCTCCAGGATGACCCGATTGTTGTCGGTAGTGGCTACTAGGATCTGCAAAATACAGAAGTTCAACTCCAGAGCGTCCACAAGCTTGGCGAGGAGGACTGAGAAAACATGGGAAGAAGCTGGTTTTGGTCTTTTAACTGCCCATGTGAGCTGGGACAAGGCACTTCCATCTGGAGCTCAGTTCCTCTTTTGGAAAGTGAAGAGTGGAACCAGGTCCCCTCCAGGATGTGCATTGCAGGGCAACGACCCCACTGAGATCATCTTTGATTAGTCACATCTCCATGGGCTCAGACTAGCAACCCCTCCAGGCCACTGGATTGAGAACCTTCTCATTAGAGTCAGAAGGGGCTCAGCCGGGCTCCACATATTCAATAACAGCTGGAGTTGATTTCCCAGCTTAGCATGGGGGAAATCCAACTAATATCCCCCTCCATTTGAATTTCTTTTCTGAGCTTCTATATTGCAAAGCACTTAAAAGCCACCCCACCTGGCTGGGGCTCAGCCCAGGCAGGTGGATTTCCGTTCCAACAAGCTGGCAGCACAGCTGATGGACAGGCCTCGACCGAGAGAATCTAGGCTGAGCACCACCTAAGCCACTGCCCCCCACCACCCCTACTTGGCTATCACCAACTGAGAATAACAGTTTAAATAGGGCTTCTACAAAATAAACAATTATCTACAGACCACTGAATGAACGTGTATCCCTTTCTCTGTTGATTTTAGACAGTCTTAGTGGCTTTTAAAACTGTCGTGGTTTCCAAACAACTGAGTGGGTTAGGATTAGAGAGATGGAGTCACTAATAAAATAACTGTTTGGAAAGTGGTACAAATTGTGCCATGGGTAATAATAACAATAACAATGAGTAATGGGAGAAAATGCCTTTGGGGTACTGCAGCATGAGGAAGCCCATCAGAGTAGAGACTCTGAGTAGTGAAAGACTAGAATTTTTCCCTGCAAGAGGATGAGAATCCCATCCACACGGCCTCATCTGGTCCCCTGGCATACTGTGTTTCCTGCCTTCACAGTCTGCCCTGCACTGGAACCCTCGTCGGCATCTCAGGGCTCACCTTGCCCCGGAGCTCCTCGATGGTCTTGTAGTAGTTGCTGTAGTCATGCTCCGGGCTGGTTGGGCTCTGCTTCAAGTGCCATTCACGGATCTTCACCTCCAGGTCGGCATTGGCCTCCTCCAGGGCACGCACCTTCTCCAGGTAGGAGGCCAGGCGGTCATTGAGGTTCTGCATGGTGAACTTCTCATTGCCGGAAAGGAGGCCGCCATCACCACCACCAAAGTCACCAAAGCCACTGCCAAAACCGCCACCAAAGCCACCTCCAAAGACACTTCCAAAGCCACTACCAGCCCCTCCAACAAAGCCACTACCAGCCCCTCCAACAAAGCCACAGCTCACACCACCCCCGTAGCCCCCAGCTGATCCTCCAGAGACAAAACGGGTTGAGCAGGTGGAGACGCTGCGGCCCCCTCCCAGCTGGCAAGAGCCACCCCCGAAACCACCTCCATAGCTGGCAGAGGAGCTCTGCAGGCGGCAACTCATGACGAGAGTGAGGTGGCAAGCAGGTGCAGACAGGAGCTTGACTGGGCCTGGGCCGAGGACGATGGCTGTTCCCCAGAGTGGACGCTTTTTATACACCCTCCACGGGGGTGGGACAACCGCCCTATCTTCTCCCCTCCCCTCCCCACCCCACCCTCGAACTTGATGCCAGCTGCACTTCTGATTCCCACAAGCCCAGCCACCTCTGCTCTCCAGGGTGGGTTGTGCCTTTGGGGGGTGGCTTTTTTTTAATCCTTGACAAAAGGGATGATTCAGAGGGAGCTGTGTTCTGCTTGAGACTACCCTGTTGACAATTGAGTTATATTTCACCTTTCCACTTAGAGAGGCTCTCAGCCCCACCCAGTATGAGAATGAGGACTGAGCTACGAAGGTCTGCCAGACAGCCTGTCAAAGCAAGCGGTGGCCCTGTGCAGAGTGGCCCTCTGCAGAGTGGACCTGGGCTTGGCCAGGTCACTGCAGCCGTCAGTCTCCCTTCTTCCAGTTTCTAGAACTTCTAATCAAAATGTTCTGTACCCTTCTTAGTATTTCATCAACTCCATTTCCCCCAAAAACTCTGATCACAAACTTTGCTCAGTGCTATAGAATCAACTGCCTTAGAGACATTTGGATTGATAAAAACACGGCTCCAAGACCATAAGAAAAAGTCACAGGGGCCGAGGACCTTAGAGGCCATCTGACACAACTGGGGAAACTGAGGCACAGAAAGGGGAAGCAGAGCTGCCTGTTATAATAATAGCTCATATTCTCAGAGCCCTTACCACATGCAAACACTGGGCTGTCTCATTTAATCTTTGCAATAACCCAATGAAGTGGGTCCTACTATTCTCTCCATTTTACGTGTGAGGAAGCTGAACCTCAGGGGTAGAGCCAGGATGGAAACCCAAGTTTGGTTTTAACTGACACGAAGGCTCATGTTTTTGGGTATATTCTTCACAAATCAGAAGTGTCCACCTTGATGCCTTTTTACATACATGTGAAGTTTTAACCATGTGTTCACCCGTGTAATCACCACCCAGAACATTTCTAGCACTTCAGAAAGTTCCTTGAGCCCTTTCTCAGTCAATTACACACATCCTCACCAGAGGTAACCACTGTTCTGACTTCTGTCACCATAGATTTGTTGAGTGGTTCTGAGCTGGGGGTGATTTTGCTCCCCAGGGCCCTGGTGGCATAGTGGTTAAGAGGTTGGCTGCTAACCAAACGGTCGGCAGTTCGAATCCACCAGTCACTCCTTGGAAACCCTACGGGGCAGTTCTACTCTGTCCTGTAGGGTCGCTATGAGTCAGAATAGACTCCACGGCAGTGGCAACACGGAACATTTGGCAACGTCTGGAGAGACTTTCGTTGTCACAAATGGGGGTGGCGCTGCTACTGGTATATAGAAGGGAGAGACCAGGGACACTGCTAAACACCCTGCAATCACAGGACAGCCCCCCACAACAAAGAATTATCCCGCCGAAAGACCAACGGTGCAGTAGTTGAGAAGCCCTGAACTGATTTACAACCATGGATTTAATTGCTCCATTAGACTAACCGCTCGAGAGGCACAGCAAGGCCCAGGAGAAGGTCTTTCAATACCTGAGTAGTGCCGTTTCTAGCACTCCAATCACACGTCGCCTGTCATAGATTGTGAGTGTATGACCCAAGAGGCCACTTAGGGGGATGTGACTGAAGGCCTGGGGCCGAGGCCCTGCTGAGGAGCCTGGGACGTGGCTGAGAAACCCTCAAGGGCTGCACAGGGACCCTGGCTGTGGAGGCCTCCTCGTGCAGGGCTGGAAGAAAAGGGCTGGAGGTGGCCTCTTGGAGCCTTGGAGAGAAGGAGAAGATTCCAGGGCTGAAAATGGAGGTCCTTGCACTTGGCTTCCAGCCCCTACCCACCAAGAGGACCAGGAGGTGGCCTCTAGGGAGCAGCCTTCTGGCCCAGGCAGCCCACGAGGGTCTTAATGCTACAGCCAGGGGCTGGATTGGGTGGCATAGGCTTGCAGTTATCCTGGAAACCCCTTCTCTGATTCAGCAACAAGACCAGAAAATAGAGAACCGAGTCAGGGATTTCTTATCCTTTGTCTTCGGTGGGTAGGGAAGCGGGCCTGTGTTCACCAAGCGGGTTTCAGAACCAGGGAGACGGCCCAGGCATGCTGCTGCGGGGTGCTCAGAGACCAGGGATTCATTCACGCTGACCCCTGCCCCTGCCCGGCCCTCTGGCCAAGCTGATGGCTCAGCTCTCTCGCTCAGAAAATGTGTGATTCAGCCCAAAGCAGGAGCTCATCCTCTCAGTGGAGGATATAAACTGACAGGAGGTGATTAATGGAACCTGCCAGGTCTGGGTGACAGTGCCGCAATCCTCCCAGGGCTGACGAGCAGGTTCAGGCCAATGCCTCTTGAGTAACAATGCTGCAGATCCTCCAAAGCCCCGGCAGAACAAACACGGGTGGCGGGGACATGCCTCCCCTGCCAGGGTCAGGGCCCAGGCCTCGCCTCCCGAGCAGGATTTGGGGTGCCCTGACACAGGAATGCCTCCCTCTGACCACAGTGAACACAGGCCCTGCCAGGAGGAAGCTGGGCAGAGACCTGTCCCAGGGACCCCTGGAGGCACACAGGTGCTGGGGCTGAGGCACAGCTAGCAGGTCTCAAGTTTCCTGCTTTGCTTTCTGGCAGAATAACACCAAGTTCAGCCCACTTCCCAGTAACATTTCAAGGGAATGAGCCGGAGCCCTGCATTTATGAGCAGCCCCAGCAAGCAAAGCCCATGCTTAGCACATTGTCATTGAGTCTCACGACAATGGAGGTGGGTTTTTATTAGCTCCACTTTACAGATGAGGCAGCTGAGGCTCAGGGAGGGGAAGTCACCATGAAGTCAAGATTTAAACCTGAGCCTCTGGCTCTTTCTACCATACCTGATGGCGTCTTGACAGCTTTGCCGCGAACTCAGCCGTAGGATCTCTGTTTCATTCTACATGGGTTAAGAGAGGATTAAAAAAAATCAATAAAACCAAACCCAAATCCACTGTGTCAAGTCGATTCCTAAAGGACAGAGTAGAACTGCCCCATAGGGTTTTCAAAGCTATAAATCTTTACGGAAGCAGACTGCCACATCTCTCTTTCTCAAAAATACCAATAGCTAATATTTATTGAACATGTACGGCACTGTGTCAAGCACTCTGCATGCATGATTTCATTGATCCTCAGAACAACTCTATTTTTATCATACCCCTTTCCAGATGAGCCCTGGTTGCGCAGTGGTTAAAGCACTCATTTACTAACTGGAAGGTTAGTGATTCGGACTCATCGATGGTTCCCCAGGAGAAACACAGGGCAGCTGCTTTCATAAAGATTACAGCCTTGGACACCCTATGGGGCAGTTCTATTCTGTCCTATCGGGTTGCTATGAGTTGGAATCAACTCAATGGCAATGGGTCTGGTTTTTTGTTTTTTTTTTCCAGATGAGTAAACTGAGGCCCAGAGAGGTCAAGTATTTTGCCCATACTTAAAAGCTCAACTATATCAGAGCCAACATTCAAATCTTTGGCTCCAGAATCTGTGTCTTTAACTATTGCCTGGCTCATTGGGCCTTTAGGGGTACTTACCCAGCACTGAATGTCAGAGAAAGAGTTGTTATACAAACTTTTTAGTCCAGCCCCCTCATTCCACACCTGGGGAAATGCAGAGGCCCAGGGCAGTGAGAAACAAGGAGAAAAGTGTGAAACTGGAAAAGTCTGGAATAAACTTCCAGCTCTACCACTAACTTATTGTGGGTCTCGGTTTCCTCAGCCTTACACGGAAATGATTTCTAAGTTTCTTGTGGCAACGCCTTTCTAAGTCTCTCGTTCTCAAAGATTTGTCCAAGGTAACCAGATTGTTCATCTGCATAGCTGAGGCTTAAGTCCTGTCCCCAGCTCCTAACCCGGAGTTCCTTGGACCAGATTCCTTCCTTCCTCCCTCCCTCTCTCAAAAGCAAGGAGCCCAGACTCCCTGGATGGCTACCCCATAGGGGAGGGGCTTCCCCAGACAGTCAACCCAGGCTCTCTGGGCAGCCCCCTGGAAGATGTCTGCTTGACATGGCACAACTCAGAAGCCTTCCCCAGAGTAGCCTCAATCCCACAAGCCCTTGCATTTCTACAGTACTTGGCTCTCTAAAAATCCCTTCTGTACTACCCAGCCTTCCCAGAAACCCGGTGGAGTCACAAAGGCTTTGGATTACGTGAACCTTAGTTTCAATTCTAAATCTGCCACCTACTAGCTATGTGACATTGGAAAATTTACTCACTATTTCCATACCTCAATGGCCACAACTAAGAAACGGGCATTAAACGAGTTAGCATTTGAGAAGCACCTGTGGAGGGACTCAGCAGGAGAAAGGTTGCCCTTACCTCCCTTTACAAATGAGGAGGCACAAGCTCATCGTTGTTAAATGACCCTCCTAGATTTCTCCTG